AATAGCTTCTTGTTAGTAGTAAGGCCCTTGTTACTACTAGCGTGGCACTTGTTCCTAGTAGCGTCCTTGTTACTAATGCTTATTCGATCGTGCCAAGTATGGCCGACTGGGTCTGAATAAGACTGTCGTTTGGTGTGTTTGGCGTGTTCTGAGTCGAGAGGTTCCACTGTCGCGTTGCTATCTACCTTTTGAACACAGCTTTTTGTCAGAAGCTTCCAACATTTCACTGCAAGAATTGGATTTTGTTGGGAGTGTGTGGATTTGAAGGCAACCTTCACCAAAGCTCTGTCGGGCCTCATGGCAAAGAACACCATGAAGGCCGCAAGACAGCGACGGCCTCCACCCTAACAGCGACGGCCTCCAACCTAAGAGTGTCCTTGCTCCTACTAGCGATGCTTTTTGTTCCTAGTAGCTTCTTGTTCCTAGTAGTAAGGCCAGGAGCTACCAGTAGCGTTCTTGCTACTAGTAGCGATGCCTTGTTACTACTAGCGATGGCCTCCAACCTAGAAGGGATGGCCTCCCATGGCAACCCTCTCAAGCCTTGCTTATGATGTTTTTTGACATCTTCCAGCGAGCAGCGAGGCGACTGGTGCCCTTGCACAGGCCCAAGGGATGACGTATGATTGGTCTACATCTAAAGGCTAAGGTGGTGGCAAGGGCCTTTCAACTTGACTTTTGCACAAAAAGATTCAGAAACCACTGTATCTGTAGTTGGACCCACTAGTCTTGTGAGGAAACCAGGTCAAAAAGAAACTAACATCATGTAGCTTTGTAGGCGACCGCTGCTGACCTGCTGCCAGAGCGGGGCTTTCTGGGTCGTCTGGGCCTAAAGAAAAGGGGAAGTACAGAGGTGAAACTTCGTGACGAGGCAGAAGATGCCAATGGACTCATTTTGCCAATGGACTCACATCGCAAAGGAAAGCGTTTCGATGCTTTTGGAGATTGCGAAGATAAACAAAAAGGGTGCTTTTACTACTAGGAGCATTCTTGCTACTGGTAACAAGGGCATCGCTACTAGGAGCAAGAAGAACCTCGTTCGGTTTCCTTCTTCCTTCTTCCTCCTTTGCAGCGTTTCTGAATCGACACCACTGGACCCCTCCAATGCTGTTCCGAAGGGCTGAGAAAATGACAGGCTCTTTGAGTCTTGGTAACAAGGTTCGCTACTAGGAACAAGTGCATCGCTACTAGTAACAAGTGCCTTACTAGTAGTAACAAGAAGCTACGTTCAGAAGAAAGGGCATCGCTACTAGGAGCGATCGGACGCTACCAGTAGCTCCTGGCCATACTACGAACGGAGCATTCTTGCACTAGGAACAATAACTCCAAGCCTTGAAAAAAGGTGTTCACCACCATCGGGCATCGTCTTCGCACAATGGCTGAAGTGAAGACATTGTTGGCACATGCTGTCTTTCATTCAGTCTTTTGTCTGGTTGATCTCAGTCTCCAAGGCTGTGGCGATTGGGTCTTGATTGGTATGGTGAACTGCCAGGGCAGCCCAAAGTCGTCCTGGCAACTTTCTCCGCAAATCTGTCTTCACAGTCAAGTGTACAAAGTTGAATTTTTTGGAGCCCATCGCTTCTAGTAACAAGAAACTACTAGTAGCTCCTGGCATCGCTACTAGGAGCAAGGACGCTACTAGGGGCTCCTGGCCTTACCACTGAGAGCAAGAAGCTGCTAGGAGCAAGGACGCTACTACATCCTTTCTGATCCAGTCTTTTATCTGGCTTAGAATTTCATGGGTCTCCTGAGCTGCCGCTAATACTGTGTGAGGGGGGTTCAGCATTGTCCAGACACAGAAGTGTCTTTGGTAGGGGAGCGCTTTTGACAATGCTGGTTGGTAGGCTGAAGCCCTCCAATTGTGATTTTATGGCAAAAAGGTCCTAGTAGCGTCCTTGCTCCTAGTAGCGAGGCCAGGAGCCCCTAGTAGCGTCCTTGCTCCTAGTAGGCTTCATGGAAGTTGATGGATTTTATTCATAGAGATTTGCGGTGGACAACTCTCTTGAACAAGACTGTATGTGTTGCTTCTGGAAAAGCCATTGCCAGGGTGGCTGGCCCATTGGCAATGCTCGTGGCACAAGAGATGCGTGGCCCTCGGTGAACAATTGTTGGCAGAGCGGGCTTTGGAATAGAAAGATGAGCTTGAGAACAAGTGCCTTACTAGTAGTAACAAGAAGCTATTAGGAATAAGTGCATCGCTACTAGTAACAAGTGCCTTACTAGTAGTAACAATGTTTGCTATTAGTAACAAAAGGGGTGGCATCCAATGAGCAGATGCGAAAAAACCTAATAGCAATGGCCTCCAACCTACCAGCGATGGCCTCAACAGTGTGCTGTGGCGAGGCCGAGAGCTGTTTTCCAGAGTCCGTCCCTTGTTTGGGATGACCCTGTCGGGGCTCCCAGAGACCAAAGCGCAGATTAGGATATTCACGCGAGCCACATCTCGTAGCCAGATCTGGCGCACGTTGGAAGAGGAAGAACATTGGAAAGTCAAGGGCAAGGGGCATCGCTACTAGTAGCAAGAAGCTACTAGTAACAAGTGCATGGCTTCTAGTAACAAGTGCCTTACTAGTAGTAACAAGAAGCTATTATTTAATTTAATTTTAATAGCTTCTTGTTACTACTAGTAAGGCACTTGTTACTACTAGTAAGGCACTTGTTACTAGTAGTAAGGCACTTGTTCCTAGTAGCTTCTTGTTACTACTAGTAAGGCACTTGTTACTAGTAGTAAGGCACTTGTTCCTAGTAGCTTTTTGTTACTACTAGTAAGGCACTTGTTACTAGTAGTAAGGCACTTGTTCCTAGTAGCTTTTTGTTACTACTAGTAAGGCACTTGTTACTAGTAACGTTGCACCTGTTCCTAGTAGCTTTTTGTTACTACTAGTAAGGCACTTGTTACTAGTAGTAAGGCACTTGTTACTAGTAGTAAGGGCACTTGTTCCTAGTAGCTTTTTGTTACTACTAGTAAGGCACTTGTTACTAGTAGTAAGGCACTTGTCCTAGTAGCTTTTTGTTACTACTAGTAAGGCACTTGTTACTAGTAGTAAGGCACTTGTTCCTAGTAGCTTTTTGTTACTACTAGTAAGGCACTTGTTACTAGTAACGTGGCACCTGTTCCTAGTAGCTTTTTGTTACTACTAGTAAGGCACTTGTTACTAGTAGTAAGGCACTTGTTCCTAGTAGCTTTTTGTTACTACTAGTAAGGCACTTGTTACTAGTAACGTGGCACCTGTTCCTAGTAACCCCTGCAGACCTGCTTAGACCTGCTTCCACGCATCCTCAAAGGCCGAAGGGCTGACCGAAGCTTTCGGCAAGGCGGGCAGAGGAGTGGCACAAGAGCGGTGCATGCGGAAGAAATCGAAGTCGGAAAAGTCTAAAGAAAAAGGAACAAATAGAAAGGGCCCAAATAAGAAAAAGGGTCCAAAATAGTACAAAAAGAACCAAGAGGTCGCTACTAGGAGCAAGGATGCTACTAGGGGCTCCTGGCTTACTACTAGGAACAAGAAGCTACTAGTAACAAGAGCATTGCTACTAGTAGCAAGGTTCCTAGTAGCATTCTTCTTCCTTTAACTAGACGACGAGTGGCCCAAAAGCATTTTTCATCACGTAGGAAGTCAGAGTGCGAGTTATCTGTTAAGTGTGCAGTGTGAAGTGTTAAGTCGAGTGAGTTGAGGTAGTGTGTGGGTCTCTGTGTGTGTATCTATGTCCGTGTGTATATGAGTCTCTGTCTGTGTGTGTGTGTGTCCGAGTAAGTTGAGGCAGTGCGTGGGTCTCTGTGTGTGATGTGTGTGTGTGTATGAGTCCCTGTCTGTGTGTGTATGTCCATGTCTGCTGCTGGTGCAGGTCTTCACTGTACATATAGTGAACGAATTACCGTGCAGGCCTCCCAAACCCCCCACCGGCGGCCAAGCGGTGACTGCCCAGCTCATGGTCGTGAGCATCGGAGCTGCTGGTAAGGGGAGAAGCAGCGTGCACAGCTGCAGGAAATCTCACTGAAAAAAGCAAGCTGGAATGAACACAGAAAATTGCTGAGGCAGGTACGCAACAAGTTTGTCCAAGCAGTGACCTGTCAGAGGAGATGCGTCCATCGATATACGATCAGAGCTAACGTTTCCTTCACTCCAGGACGCATAGCGTTTGTAGGATGTAGTTAACCAACCACAACGCTTGTCATTGACTAAGTGACTGTCTCAAAGAAAAACGTGACAAAGTAGCATGAGGTGACACACAGCAGGCACTGCGTATGTTTTAGTGCACTCTGGCCGTTCAGCTCGCGACTAGCCCTTGTATATGGAAGAGACTCCCCGACATTATGTCTAGTACTTGTTGTGCTTCCGCAAAACGACGTCCACACAGGAGTTGTGAGGAAGAATTCATGGTATGAGACATGCAGTTGGTTACCATGTGAACATCTAGATGACACCCTGCGTCGGGGAGA